TTGTTGCACAATATAACCCCCAACATCTGGCTGGGGATAATATTAGTTGCATGGAGTGGGGGGAATAGGACACTTAAAAGTGGCACGATAAATCCTAATGTATCAGATTTAAATATACCTAACTGCCCGATCCCAACCACACCTGTAAGCTTTCTGGCCAAGAGTGAATGAACCCCTCCCCTAAGCTGCCTTTTAGGGTTATCAGAATAAAGTTTATTCAATAAACGAAGGCATCCTTAGAGGAAGATATAGGTAACTAGACCAATAACTTCAAGATGTGTAGACTTCAACTTCCAGAATTCCTCAGCCAGCATGCTGGCTGGGGAATTCTGGGAGTTGAAGTCCACATATCTTAAGTGTTGGTCAAGGTTGAGAAACCCTCATTTGGGCATCATTCACATTGTCTGAGAGCGCTAGTAAATCCTAACCAAGCGAATCATTGAGAACAGGTCCACAGCATTTGAGCAGATTTTTGGCCATACCTTCTGACCAATAGGAATTTAAAAATAGCGAATGTAGTCTATCGTTGTTACTATTTCTTCAGTGTACACGCCTGCTATTCATAATTTGACAGGGAAGACAGCTAATAAAAAAATTGAAGGAAAGCAACTTTCGTTAAAAGCAGCTTTTCCTTAATAAGTGAGACGCTTCCCTGGGACTGCATCCCGATTTTATCCGTTCTCAGCAATATTGATTTAAGCTGCTATCCTGAAGCTATCCTGCAAGTATCTTGGGGCTTGAAGCCCACCAGACTGGACTTGCCTCAGTGCAAACTCGTTAGGTGAGGCTGTGCATTTGCAAAACACATGAACGGTATCAACGTGGAATTGCTTCCAAAATCTCAGAAGGCCTTCGAAATTCACCTGGAGAAACCTGGAGAAGTCTGATGGAAAGATCAAGCAGTTTTATTGCCTCGGTCCTGAAAAGTAAACGGAACTCAAAAATGAGCAGCAATTTTCATCTTCTGTCACCTGACCCCTTAGACCACACGTCATTTCTTGTGTGTATTGGGTGTATATAGCGCATAAGAATATTGTTGGGAAATCTGTTCCATCTATACTTTATTATGTTTATCGTGAACAATTCTTCTCAACTGAATGAATGACTCCATACTGTAGCGCTCTTTTTTAAAAAAAAAACACACACACACACACACACACAACAAAACGAGCAACATCTCCAGCTATGAAAAGAGGTGGGATTTTGATTGGGTTGCAATTGGGATTTAATGTGGGGGGGGGGAGAATAAACCAAGTCCAGAATGGAAGGAAAATAATGTTGGAGCCTCAGAATCGAAAAATGATAAACAGTTGTCAGTGGCAATAAACTGGGACAGATAACTGGGACAATGTGGGGGAGACCAGAAATGCTTTGTTAAAATAGAAAGGGTGATAAGACCCGAATTAAACCACACTAGGCTCTTGAAATTTGCCTTTTCAGATAATTGAACTGGTATTTGGTTACATCTGAATATGCTTGCAGGTGAATGTGCTATTGCTAATTAAGGAAACGGCTACTGGAAGTGATGAGCTGGGCGGAGATTTTACTGAGACCAACTGACAGTTTCCGAATAAGATTGCAGCAATTGCTCAAGAGCAGTTCATCCCCAGCCCTCTTTCTCAGCCAAGTAAACCTCCAAACCGCAATTTAATTAGCCCGGGGCACAGCGATTCTGTCCTTAAATTGCCTATAATCTCAATGTTGGCAAAACCTCTGGTCCTGTCCAGATTCCCTTTCTCTAAATAAAAATGCAGAGGGCGGGAAGGTTCACTTCATGAGTTTCAAGAGTTGCCTTGCTCTCTGAGTCAAGGAATATTTGGAGAGAACGGGGGCAAACCGACCCCTCTAGGCATCTACTGCTATCTGCGCCAACTGATTGCCCTTTTAGGCAACTGAGAAGGACAGAAGCGAGGCTGCCCCGTTGGGGGACTCGTCTGTTTCACAAGGCTCAAAATCCCAGAACTCCATTAGACGCAAAATCCCAGAACTCCATTAGCAAGGTTAACTACACTCCTCTCCTACCATATACCTACCTACCAACACTTATAGGTGTAGCTACCGCTGCACTCCTTTACCATCCCCTTCTCCCAAAAAGCAGAGAAAGGGCTGAACCCCTCCTGTTTTTCGGAAGAGTAAAGCTACCCTCCCACCCAGTCATCTGGAACAGCTGGATTTGAATACACCTGGGCACCAGGATAGCGTGAAGGCAGCTTTACAATGTTCAAAACCAGGTCCAGGGCAAACTGAAATATTTGGAATGTAAATTATCTCCTTCCTTCCTTCCTTCCTTCCTTCCCTTCCGTGTGTCTTTCCAATCTAAAAATAACACTGGAAATCTAGTAGATCATTCACATTCTCTCGTGCTTTTCCTTTGACGATACTTCCACTAGGTTTAGTAGGGGTTCTCCTTCTTTCCGAATACATTTGCTGTGCCAAAGGTCCGGTTTTCCATTCCTCGTTCAAGTAAAAGGGTTGATTGAACGGCGCGTTTAGCAAAGTGCGGGAGTCCCGTGTCCTCCTGTTCTCTCAGCCGCCGCTTCCCAACATTACAGAGCAACTAAAAAGAGGGGGCTGAATTGGGCTCTTAAGAGCCCCGGAGGCAAGAGGGGGCGCTTTTCTGGCAAGAGCGAGAAAAGAGATCCCAAGGGGTGGATCAAGTTCAAGACTTGTCCCAAAAGCAGCGCTTCAGTCGCGCAAAAAGCGAAGGCGCAGGATTCCCGGAACACCCCGCGGACACATCTAGGTGGTTTTTCTTGGCTCCAACCCTGCCCTTGTTTGCCTCCCCCCGCCTCTTTCAAGGGGACTTTTTCGACTTCTCGCTCAAACCTACAGTCCTGGGCTGCCCTGAATCGCCTAGCCAAGCCTTAAGCAAGCCAGCTCCGCTTAGCTGTTTTGAGGTAAGTAGTGCTTGGCTGGGAGACTGCCGGTGAGATCCCTCTGACAATGTTCGGGTCGGGTTTCTCCCCCCCACCCGCCCCCACCAGCTGACCGAGTCGAGCAACCAGTCCCGCGCCGGGTACTTTTATAGCAGTGAGGAAGTTTTTAAGTTCTGGATCCCGGCGAAGACGGCTGAGTGGCGCTGCTTGGCCCAAGACAGTGGGGTTGCATGCATTTCTGGCCTCGGGAGAGCTAAATCGACTTCTTCCAGCCAGGACCGCATCACTTGAGCGAGGCAACCTTGTCTCGTGTTTTATTCATTTGCTTCGGCTCCAAAGCATGCTTTTCCTTCGCATTTGCTGTCGAGGGGCTCTTCCTGCCTTCCCTTTTCCTTAAAAAAAAAAAACACCCAACAACCTCCGGATTCTCCTGGAGTTCTCTCGGGCACACAGCCCTCCCCGCCACGGTCCCACCCGCAACTGTTAAATTATCCTCTGCAGGAAAGGGTAGGTAAAGGAGGAGCCTCACCCCCGAGAGCTGTGGATGGAGGTGGGGAGACCACGCCGGCTCTCGAGAGCCCCCGGCACCACCCCACAGGAGCACGCCCACTCTTCGGGAAGCGCTGAGCCTGCTTTTTCCTGCTCTGCCACACGCACACACCCCCAGCACTAGCAAGCCCGCATCTGGCTGTTCGTCTTCCTTCGCGGGCTCGTTTAAAAAGTGTGACAAGGGGCATCAGAGGCCCGCCAATCGGTCCACCCGTGGCCAGAAGCTCGGAATGAATGCCCCCTCCCTCATCCAGGTGGGAACACCACATCCGAGAGCTACATCCTTTCCCTGGCCCAAGGAAATCAATGACCAAAGGGCCACTTGGCCAGGCTGGGCCGTTCTTCAGAGCCAGCCGTCGGAAAGGCGAAAAAGGCACCGTCTCTCGCTCGCCCCGTTGCCCTTGCGTGCGCGCTTGGCGCCACAGCCGAACAACAGGAGGCGCTGCGCGTTTGCAGAAGCAGAGTGGCTGCCCGCCGGCCTTGTCTCCTTTCTTTTCTTCCACCGGCTCCCCCCGGGGGCTGAGGTTCATCTCCCCCGGCTCAGAATTCCCCCCCCCTTCCCAAATGGCGAGGACCGCGGTGCCCTGGAGATGCCAAGCTTAACGCGGAAGGTTAAAATCTTTAGGAAAAGGCAGGTGGCATTAACCAGAGTTGTCCTGTTTCATTGCTCAAATTGTCAGTCCATTTCTTGCCGTCTGGTGTTTTTAGTTTGCTGCGATTTCTTACCCTTTGGCCCAATATCAAAAACCTTCATGATCCCAATAGCTTTTTACTCTTATTCACGACGGTCGTCCTCATCGTCATCCCTGATTATATTTTGAGCGGATGACACGGTTTTGCTGAATTAATGGGGAGAGGGATCTGTATCTGTAGTTCACACTATACACCTTCGTTCCCATCCCCATCCGGCAGGTCCCTCGTTAAATTAAGGCCCTAAGAATTCTGCAAGTATCTTATGAATATCCAAGTTTAGATTAGATACCAAGTCCTAATATTGGCTGATATCCAAAGGATTGCAAAGCATTCAAATTTAAATTCATGGGATTGCTCTGGATCACATCCGACTGAGATTTTTAAAATGTTGCTGGTTTCTATCACATTTGTTACCATAATGTGAGCGTTAACATTCCAATGGACTTCATTAGGCATACAAATCTTAATTACTGTAGCCTTACAGTATTTGTAATAATGCCTATTAATTTAAACATATGTTATGCCAGAGGATGCATTTAGGATCACAGAGTTCTCTCCCTATATTATAAATGATAGTTATTGGCTACAGTATAAAAGTTCTTCCATGGCAAACTTGTTTCCGAAGCATTTTATTCCAAAGTGTAAAAACAAGGTACCTATGGAAGAATGTGTTTAGCTTTTTTTTTTTTTAAATAGCATACTTTTCTGTCTTATTCTTTCCTGCTGATTTGAGACTTTCGCTTGAATCAAGGATTTAACTTCATTCTATTGCCAGATTTAAGAAGGAGGTTGGCAGCAGGGAACAAAAGAAGGAGCTTTTTGTTAGCACGTTAAAACGTATTTTTAAAATATGGATGTCACTGTCTGAAAAAAAACGTTTGCTTTGGTTTCGTCTATGTTTATTAATAGAACTACATTTCAGTGTGAATCAATAAGGACAAATCTTAGCTTGATGGAGAATTAGAGGAAATCTCAGGAATGCAAAAGAAACAAACAGCTAGGTTTTCCATCCCAAGCAAACCGGAAATAGTGTTCTGGAATCAAATTCTTTAACACCGCCAGGGAACATTCTCCTAAGAGGTGATCCCGTTTCCAATTGTTGCGCCTGCATTCGAACTGACCCGGAAAGCATCTTCCACACAAGGAGAATGTATTTTCCTAGTGCTGTGGTCGTGCTGCCTGTCTGCCCCATCTCGGAGAGATCCTGCTCCATACTGGTCCCATGGCATCTTTTCCTTGGCCTCCCTTGGAAAAAATGCTCACATTAGGGAATGCCCAGAACTCTCACCTCTTTCGTAAGCACAAACACACAGTATGGACTCTGGTGAAAAGGACGCAGGTTGGAAGAATAGCATCCACTCAACCCTGGCAACATTAAATGTTTGTCTTCCAGCCAATTTTAAGCCTCTGGAAATTAACTGGCAACTTCACCCACATCCCTTGCGCCAATGGGCTCTACTGGGACCAATCCATACCTGGAGTTCTGTCCAGTGAACCTTATTTTCTCCAAGTGGCTTACGCTGTAGCATGTTGATTAGGACTGCCATTAGGTGGGGCGTTTAAAGGTATAAAGGACAAGGAGTGGGTTGACTTGATAAACCATCATCTTCTGTGCAGCATCTAATGCACACTTACTCCTTAATTCTGAGGAAACTGGTTTGTCAATGAGATAGATGGGCAGTTCAGAAATGAAAATAAAAGTTGATATTCCAAGGACCTGTCCACTTGATAGTACTCTACTGTGAATAGTCTGGCTTTGGATCCCAGTTAAATTATTTTATTCTACTGAACTCAATGGGAAATTATTCAGGAGAATATACTTAAGCTTGAATTCAACCCACAAAAAAATCAAGATCTTTAAATACCCCCTTTTAAATCATGGGACATTGGTAAAAAAGTTCTCCTGAGTTGCTTGTTTTAATTTCTTCCCATGAAATTATTCCCCAACTTACTTACTTGCCACCAACCCTTAGGAAGAGCAAGTAAGACTGCACATTTTCGTAATTCTTTGATGTTGGGAGGCCTCCATAGAGGACTCTGTGGGATGCCATGGATCACCTGATTCCAGGAGATCATAGAGATGCCCTTGCAGAACAACGTTAGACAGGTGGAGTAAATGTGCAAGAGAAAATCGCCACCCAGTCTAAAGCAATGGCAGGAGGACAGCCGAAGATTTGTGCCCCACAGCCATTTCTGGCTCAGTCACCAAATCTCCCGTGGCAATCACCTGTTATTGACTCGCCCAGGCGGTTCCTAAGGTGACGATTTCCAGGCAAGGAAGGCGCGGGGCTGGAGCGGGAGGTTGAGCTCAGGGGAAGAAAGCCATGAAAATGGTCGGAATGAGTCACCTGGGCCTTTTGCCAAGCGGAGCTTTCAGGCCAAGGGATCCACCGTTCAAACCTCAATGCGCCGGGCCTGGACTGGCTGAACGTCACAGCAGTAACTCATGTATTCACCCGGTGCTTCTGCCCGAAAGGGAGAATATAATGCCCAAGCGGAGAGCGGGGGGCGGGGGGTGGATGCTGAAACTTTCCTCCAAGGCAGATTTTCCCTGTCACATGGAACAAATACTATTTTATTATATTTCTGCGGGTACGGCGGGGAGAAAGAGGGAGGAGAGCTATAAGGTAGGACCACGATCCATGAAAGGTTGCATTTTAGTGTCTGGATTCTCCCCGTTGCAAGGAGGGGCGCTTTATTTTACTGACTTCGACTTGGGCTGCTTTTATTCCATCATTGGGACGGCGGGGGGGGGGGGGGGGGGGAATCAATGCTTGGCACCCAGCTTGCTACTGTTGCTGCTGTCCCTACCGCCGCCGCCGCCTCCAAAGTTCAAGCGCGACCGAGAAAGATTAACAGCTTTTGCTTAAAAGGACGGCAGCCTCACAGCCACAGCCATCTGCGCCTCTAAAACTCTACACGAGAAATCGTTCAGGGCTCTTGGCTTGGTTTTAATTGCAGCCACCCGCCCTGCTCCCCTTCTGGAAAGAAGGGTCCGAGCCGACAGGACAGCTCCTACGGCTGGGTCGTGCGCCTGCCCTTCTCGGTCTGCTCTTTGAACACAGACAGGAGTGCCGCCTTTCCCTGGAATTGCCCCCGCCCTCATCAGCGGCAGCGGGCGGGCGGGGTGGGGGGGGG